AAAAGTCAACTTTAATGAGAGATGCTATTTCCAAAAAGGTGTATTTTATATCAAAGGGTCATATCTTCTAGGAAAATGTGGATATATTAATAAAGCTACAAATTGGATGAAACAAAACTTTCAATCACAAAAGGGCAAACAAAATCCAATAAAGAGATTGAGAAAACCTTGAAGATATAAAAATGTGAAAAGTCTGAGTAGCAAAGTAAAATTATTAAATATATATGTTTATGTGTATGTGGTACTTATACATATAATTTTAACTCCATATTGAGAAAGTGTTAAAATACAAAGCATTTTTTAAAAGTTTGAAATATTGAGGTTTTGTTGAATATATACTGTCTCAATCATGAAACTGAACTAGGATTTAATAACAGGAGCGTAGAAAGTCCTCAAAGGTTTTGAAGATCCCAAATATAATTTAAAATAATCTGAAAAACTTCACTTCTAGTCGGAAATGTTTTAAGTTGAATAATAATTAAGACATAACATGTAAAATTGTGAGGCATAGTCAATGCTTTAGCTTTAGGAAAATGTATTCTCTACCATAAACATTGCCGCGCAATATGCTGTCTTTTGAAGCTGCCATAGTTCCTTTCTCTCTCAGGTCACACATGCAACTGTTCTATAAAGGAAGAATTTCTCTTCCTCCAAGTCATTCCCCTTTTCTTCCTCTTTTTTTCTCCTCCTTCTCCTCTTCTAATCTCAGCTGCCCTTCAGTACATTTGCTCAATAGGTACAGACTTGATGCCGTTGGATTCTAAGAGTGGATCATAAGAAATATTGCAGCTTCTCTTTGAACCTCTTGAAAGCTACCATGTAAAATATCTCCATTTTGAGAGAAATCAGAAAGAAACTCAGAGTTAGAATGTAGAGGGAAAGCATTCAGGGGAAAAGAAATATCTAACTACCAAACATAAGTCCCAGCACCTCCACTCAGATTCCAGTCTGTGAGTGAACAGCCAGAACACAGGGTGCATCCAACTGGATTCTACTGGCAGTCTGAGGAACCTCTAATAGAGGACCACCAAACTGGACCTGTCAATTCCCAGTAAAATGAAAGATATTAACACATTTTCTTTTCAACATCTTACTGTTCAGGTAGATTGTGACACATATAGAGGTAAACAGAAATATAGTTTTATAGTAACATTAAAAACAATGATTGGAGTTAGAACAACAAGAGAAACACACAGAAAGTAAAAGTACCTTCTGTGTGGTAATGACAAAGCACAAGACAATTAAAACGGAGAAGACCAATGAGCAGTGCTGAGAAATGAATGACACTTAGACATTTGTTTGCAAAACACAGGATAAGTGCCACACAGATGACGAAAGAATGGTGTGCTGGTCTGAATGGGAATTGGCTGACACTTAGTCCCCACTTGATGAGTGCTCAGGGAAGGATTAGGAGGTGTGACCTTTTTGGGGAAGGTGTGTCACTGGAAGTGGACTCCTAGGTTTCAAAAGCCCACACCTGACCCAGTGTGCATTCTCTTTCTCTCTGTCTATTGTGTATGGGTCAAGATGTAACTCTCAACTACTGCTCCAGAAACATGTGTGATGCCATTTTCCCTCCTATGATGATAAAGGACTAACTCTCTGAAATTGTAAGCTCCCAATTGAATGCTTTCTTTTGTAAACATTGTGCTTGACCATGGAGTCTGTTCACAGCAATAGAACAGTGACTAAGACAGAGGTATAAGAGATGGTAGGTAGGTGAAAGAGAAAAATAGGTGATAGATAGAAAAATGATTGATACATGAATATATACTTAGATCAATAAGTAATAGATGATAGGTAGATAGATAATAGATGTGAGATAGGTTATAGATAGATGGTATAAGATAGAGTAATCATAAACAAACAGATAACAGAAAGATATAAGGGAATTTGAAAGTATCCTAGAAAAAATAAAGAATAAAAATTATAATCTAATGTAAACATATCATTTATTCCATCTTCAAACATGTTTTATCCTGAAAATGAATTCCAAGGACAAGAATGGAGACCTAAGCACAGATTTGGAAAGTTGGATATCTAAAAACTACTATGAGTTGAGAAAAGCTTAGCACAGTATTTTCAGACATATATGTGACAGAAAAAGAAATCCCTACAGTCACACAATTTACCCCAATGTATGTTTTTGTATAATTGAATGTTTATATATATAATAGATAAATTAAGCTCATAAGTCACACACATACACCCCACACACACAGACACACACAAACATGTACATATATAGAAACACAATACACAAGCATCATGCTGCAGGTAGTATAATAAATGAACGCAAACATTTAAGTAAGAAAGGAAAGCAAATTATATTTGGAGGATATACAAAAGAAGAAATAGTTCTAACTTGCTTTTGTTCTCATGAAACATCGGTGTAAGAATCTGGTATTACAAAAACTGTGGGGGAGGGGACTTGAAAGAAAAACAAATACAGTCGTATATAAATATCACTCAAATTATTTTAAAATCCTACTGGAATCCATAAATATATTTAAAAGGCACAATATATTGGTAAGATTTATTTTAGAGATGCGAAAGGCAGTTGATGTCAAAACCAAATAACTTTCTGTGTAGATTCAGTAGTGGTAATACTTACCACTTGTTTATGATTCAAATATATATGAAATCAGAATGCTCTTAATCTGATCAGATGAATCTCCATAGATAACATGAAAATATAGATTCATTTCCACTCCTCTGATGTGCATGTTAAAAAAAGAAAAAAGCCCATCCTTTGAAACCTTGAAGGGAGATGAGATGGATTGTGAACATCTCTTTTATTTGAGATTATACTTTAAGACCAGTAAGTGAAATCACCAACAATTAAGAGTTATCTAAATTGACAAACTATTTGAACAAAACTTTCAGCAAATGTCAACCAAATGGCCAAATACATGAAAATATTCTTAACCTAATTAATAAACAGGAAAATGCAAATTAAGTCACAACATGATGCTATTATAAAATCCTCAGAGGACCTGAAACAGAAAAAGGACATCTCAAATACTGGAAAGAATTAGTAGCATCTGCTCCCCCAGTACACAGCTGGTGGGAGTATAAATTAGAATAATCTCTACGGGAGAATGCTTAAATATAAATAGTAACAGAGAACATATCAGAATTTTTGATCCTGTGATTCCAGTTGAGATATATTTCCAGTGCAAGTACCAGTGTAACTCCACTGTAGTCTTGCTTAAATGAGAATATCCGTTCCACCATTCTTGAGAGTCATAGAAATAAAAAGAATGACCAATTGTGCTTCATCTATTAAATGGATAGGTATACATTCTGATAGATCCACAGAATACAGCATTATTCAGGAGTAAGAGGGCAGGAACTACAAGTTCATGTTGCACATGGATGTGCCTCAAAAACAGGATGATGAATGAGAGAAGGGAGACACACACACACACACACACACACACAGATTCACAGTACAAGCTTGTCTGTACACACTACAAAAACAAAACAGAACAAAACAAAAAAGCTGACTGATAGTCTTTCGAAGAAAAAGAACAAAACAAAATAAAACAAAACAGCTATGACCTTCAGCTGTAGGTAGTGCTTCTTGGACATTAGTCTTAGTTTATTCTCACAGGAAGATCATGCTGGTGGTCTGGGCACTGGCTCAGCAGCAGAGCATTACCTAGCGCACACAAGCCTTCAGGTTGGATCCACTGCTATTAAAAAAAAAGTCCTTGCTTACTTTAGTTTTGCAAAATCAAAATATATATTTTAGGATTGGATACTTTTCTGCATGGGTTTCACACTTCACTGAATAGTTTTAAAACAAGCAAAGGCAATTTCAAAGGTTTTATATCCAGGGCTAGACGCAGTTAGTAAAGTCTAATCAAGAGTCCATGTAGCTCACTCTGCCTGTTACCTCCTCATTAGTAAAGTGGCAGTTAAGTTACTTTGGTTGGACAGAGAGCTCCTCCGTCACTTTGTGCTTGGCTTCTGCCGTTCCTCACTGGTTTCCCTGTCTCTTTCTTCCCCAGTCTCTCATCCTTATCTACCTTGCTCTCCCTTCCCCATTGCTCCTTTGCATCCACTTTCATCATATTGACCAAGAGTCTATCAAGATAACTACGCGGCATGTAATAAACATGCTGAATGAACAGAATTGTACCAATGTTACCTGGCAGGCCACTTTCAAGGGTGAAAATGTTTTAGAATATACCTCAGGTGTTACTTGGGTAGGAAGAATGCACAAGATTGATTTCTGTAATTAAAAACTGACTTATAGTCTTGGGTTTAGAAGTAGGCATAACCAAGTCAGCTCTGTTTAACTGCCAACACATGCTGGATAATAGAGAACACTAGCATACTTTCTCCCTGCATTCTGGGTCTCATCCTGAAATGCTGAGTGCTATGAAATTTCTCTGTCTGTTCTATGAACTCCAAAAATTTACAATGCTTCTTGAACTATTCAAAAGTAGCACTTGGGGTATCAAAGATCAGGAAGTGGATATTTCTTTAGAGCACATTAGCTTTGGTTAAAATGCACTTCTAAGGCTGGGGATATGGCTCATAGATAGAGAAGTTGCTGCACAAGCTGGAGAACCTGAGGTTGAATACCGTGCACAGTCTGGCACAACAGTGCATATCAGTAATCCCACTGCTTCTGTGACAAGATGTGATAGGAACTGAAATCTCATAAACTCTCAGGGTAACTGTTGTAGCATCCAACAGAAAGAAGCTGTCTCAAACAGGGGAGAGAGTGAGCATACCTGAGATTGTCCTATGATTGATGTCTTATGATGTCCTGAGATTGTCTGCATGCTGTGGCATGTGCGTGCTTGTAGTCACACACATACTCATGCACAAATGCACATACACAGACACAAAACAAATAAAATAATCAGAGATGCTCCTTTTCCCCCCTCCTTTAACCCTGAAGAGGAAGGAATGTCAGCAGAGATACTGAAGTTTCTGTGTGTTTAGGTTGCAGAGGCTGATTTTATTTATCTATCCAATTGCAGATATAAATGAATGTGCTGTTGACAATGGTGGCTGTCAAGACAGATGCTGTAATACAATTGGCAGTTATTACTGTGTATGTCAAGCTGGCCAAAAGCTGGAGGAAGATGGCAGAGGATGTGAAGGTACCATTAAGACTGTCTGCTTACTGATAAGGAAACAGAGAACATCTATATAATGCAAAAGTAGTTTTTTTTTCATCCAAAGCCATTTGAAGCACTTGTGCTAAATATTGTCAAGAGCTTATCTTCTACTTGTGCCTAGATTACGAAATTGAAGCCCATTAGAACACTTCAAGAAGCTTATTATAGGCAGCATATGATTGTATGCTGGTGGTGGTTGTGCCATGTTCTGATTATAGAATTTCAATCATTCATTTAAGTCGTAGGGTAAAGTCCATTTTAAAAAGCATTTCATTTATTTCTATAGCAAAAATCTGTTGCTTCTCATAAAAGAGTCATAGCTACAAAAATAGAAATGGGGGACATAAGCTTAAGTGGGGACAGCATCCTTGTGTCAAATGAGCTTTTGCTGTGAGTTTAATTTTTCTTTTTCAAATTAATTCCTTTCATCTTTAATGTTTTAAATTCATCATCTTATTTACTTGACAGTCATTGAGTTTCTGTTCTGCATTAGGCTTTATTCTATGCCTTAGAGATGTAAAATTAATGAGCAGTAAATTCTTCCCTGAAGGAACTCATTGATTAGAGGCAAAGATGGAAACGTGTGCTCATATCTTACAAACTGATGTGCTCAGGCATTCTTAAGTGGGGTCAAATGCACTGGAAACAATGAGATGTAGGTTTTACTCTCAGTTCTGCCCCTAATTGTATAATCTTGGGCAAGTTACTTAATCTCTCTGAGATTGCCATCATCTGTAAAATTTAGGATAATGTTAGCTCCTGAAACTGCCAGCAAATTTCCTTTGAGACCTAAATAAGACAACACATTCAAAACACTTAGCACAGAGTGTTGTGTAGCCTAGGTTCAGAGGATAACCACCATGCACTGTGCTACAATTCAGCTTACCTGCTGCTCACCTTGGGAAGATGAAAGAAGTCAGAGAGGGCTTCCCTCTGTAAGCACTGAAAAGGGTTTCTAGCCTTCAAGGATCACATGTGTATGCCCCGCAGTCTTTTCTGACTTTTACTTATTTTTCTAATTCACTCTACTAACATGCCTTATCATTTCATAAATTCAGGCATCATTGTTTGTTGATTCTGTTTGGTTTGGAGCATCATAACTAGAAAAGTATTCTAGTTCTTTTGTGGACATTGATCTTATGAAATCTCACTTTTTGCTTCTCCAAACAGTGATTGTAATGAGATAAATGTGAATAAAGAGATAGAAAGAATAAATAAAAGAAAGCCCTAGTGTATATGCCCTTGACTGAGATAATGGGATTGTACAGATTGTTCAGTTCACTTGAAGCTTGAAAGGTTAGTTTCCTATACCATGGCTTGGACATACTATAATTTGGAAGGTTTTAGATCAATAGCCACGGACGTTCAAGTACAAGAGTATCTGTGACCTTCTGATATTGACCTTTCTTCAGGGAAGAAACTTCTGGGAAGGTGTAAATTCACAAAGGCAATACTGTTCCTTTCATTCATTCGCTTCCTCAGGATAATATCTAACTTTGGGTGTGGTTGGTAATAGTACTGCAGTATGGATTCAATATCAGCAGTGTCCAAGTTAAAAGAGAAAGATGACAACACAGACTGTACAGTGACACGTTGCTTGTTGTGACCTTCTCTTGTTCTGACAGGCAGTGACCTATGTGCTGTCCTTTTGCTGAAGATTGTCACAATCATCAATTTCATTGTCATAGAAGCATTTCACTTGTCTAGCCCAACTAGTCACTAAGGCTAGATAAAACAATTCTATTAGCATTTTAAACCAAGTATTAGGCTGACAAAGCAGATTAGACTGGATGCCTCAGCTCCCTTTCATCTGTTTTCTCTTATATTTTGAATCAAGATGCTCCATAAATACCGAAATATTTAGCAAATAGTGTTTTCTCTGGCTTCTGCATTTGACAGTGGTATCTTTGCAGAAGCTGAAAAGGAATATGATTACATGAGAGGACTAGAGAGTAGCATCTCAGAGTAGGGCTTTTTTGAGCATACTGGACAGTGGCATCGCACAGCTGGTTGCTTTGACATTTACCAGGACCAATAACTGAGAATAGGGATGTGGAAGAAAGCCCCTTTACCATAAATAACCCCCCCCACAGACACCCAATTCTCATTCATCTTAGCAGATTTTGGTTTTATATTCTGATGTAACTGTTTAGCAGAGAAGACATGCTCAGCTAGCCATGTTGCAAGCTCAGTTTTTGATGATGTGATGACTTTAAACTTATTCACATACATAGTGTTGGTGTGAGTACACAACTCTCACCTCAAAGGAGGTAAACAATAATGTATTCTATAGCCAAATATGAGTGACCATGGTCCTGTCCTGGAAACATCTTTAGCTAATATGCTAGCAGTGCCATGAAATTTTATAAAATCAGAAAAAAGAAAGTGTTGGAGATTGGTTCTAATGCTTTGATTCAATTGGGAATCTGAGTGTGCAAATGGTAAAAGTCACCAATTGTTTTTTGATTGATCGAGAAAGATGACAACAGCCAATGTCTGGGCATGGGCTGGGACCTTTAGAGTTGTGCAGACTAGGATGCAGAGAGTAATGGTGTGAATCGCCAGGATGCAAGGAGAGACAGAAGAGGAGAGCTACAAGACAGCTTCAAGCCAACAAGCTATAGGAGACTTTGGGTAAATGGTCACTGGCAAATTCTCCAATTTGGCCTGGGATATCAGAGGAAGTTTTAGCTGTACCTAGCCTTTGAGGTAGCCAAGGCATTTTAAAATAAGCGATGTATGTGTGTCTTTCATTTGTAGATCCAAAGACAGCTCCTGGGCAGGTATTTGAGTGAAATCCACCAGAAGCACAAAGCAGTAAAGCAAAAACTCACTGCTACAAGAAAGCATCAGTCAAGACCCTTTTTAGTGCATTGGTGGAAATATCAGTTAAGTAGGTCACAAAATGTGGAGAAATATTGTGTGATCCGCCATGCCCAACCACTGGCCGTTGGCATCTTAATTGTCAAAGTTTTTTACAGTTACACAATTATATGCAGATTTAATAATTCACTCCACCCATTGATCCATGGATATATGTGTTCAGTAATTCACTCACACATGCCCTAAAAATACCTGTCCTTTGCAGTGTGCATCACATCAAGCAAAGGACAGGAACTTGTGCTCTATTTATTTTTCTAACATATACTAGTTGTGAAATGTAAGGTTAGTTACTTATTACAGGTTAGATTTTTGTCATCTATAAAACCAAAATAACAATACTTAGTGTGAGAGAGATTATAGGATTAAATGGAACATGGGATGAAGTCACTGGGACAGTAAAGATCCTTTCTGCTGCTTCTTTGTAACTCCATGCAAAGAGATGAATGCTTGTGGCATTGCTGGTCTCTCTGCCTCCTCACCTGCACTCACTCCCCTTTTTCCTAGAAAAGGAATACATTACCTCAAATACAGGTGTATGGAAAAACAGTAGCCCATGGATTTTGGACTTGCTTTGTATTTCCTCTTTGGGATCTGGAAATTGGGTCTGTGAGTGCCAGAAGACAATGACTGCTGCCATGAACTTGGCTATGATGTGTGTTTGGGTAGAACTAATTCCACACAGGGAAACCGAGATTCCCCATCTCTACCCGTGGCCAGGCAAGAAACCTAGGAATCCTAGTCCATAATCTTCACCCATAATTTCTCTTCTCAAGTCTTAAGTTTAACAAAATCTGCATTGATCATGTGTTTCCATCTGGCTATTTTAGGTTAGAATTAGTTAAAATTCAGGCAGATGACATACATATCTTTTTGAACCTTCTCAAAATATTAAGGCAACATTCTTCTAGTTTACAAGAGGTGCTCAAGGAAACACACATGCATTGTTCTTCTTTCCTTTCTTTCCTTCTATATTTGTTGTTGAAGGTTAAAAAATATGGCCAACAGTATTTTCCCTCTCCAAGGAGCTTCCATTTCAATAACAGAGATAAGGTGAGCACACAAACAGCCATAGTATAAGAGAGTAGAGCAAATACAAGGAGGCAAAAGCAAAGTGGCAATGGGCTTGAGAGCAGAAGGAGGTCACCCAATGCTGAATCAAAATGAGCTAGAACGCGGTGGGTGCAAATTAGAGTCCCAAGACGGAGTGTCCTCCTTCCATCTCCTTAATAAAGTTCCCTATTAGAAATTCCCCTGTTGGAACGGTACCCCCTCAGAAGGAGTCCCCCTGAAATACTCTCCATCATGCCTTGTTCACTTTTCTCTCTCTAAAGCTGAAAGCTCACGGCAAATCTCTTGCTGACCATGTTGGTGACCTCGGGCACCACCGAGACCAACAAAACTTTGCCACAGATATGGGGAAGGACCCTCATACCCATAAAGGGAATGCCCCAGACCCAGTTCCCTTATGGAGCCGAGGACTGATATGCCTGTCCAATACCACAGAAGGCACAGCTAACCGGCTACCACAAATATTATTGAAAAAAATAGATACCCTCACAAAGCCAGGCCCAACCATAAATACGATGAATAACAATTTACATCCAGGGAAGAGAAATCTCCCTGAGAATCCCCTTCTTTTTTCTTTCCAGGTAAAATTGAATCACCCGTGATGCCTGCTATTAGAAGTTCTAATCCAGATGGACCAGAAGCCAGGATTCTCGTCCTTACCCTCACCCCCTACCTTTTCCCACCTGCACAAGGTTCCCTGAAGCTTGGCAACTGCAAGATCCTGCTTGGCAACTGCAGATAGACTCAAAGCAGTGTACCATATCATCTGAAGAATAGCAGGGAGACCATAACTCAAGCAGTGTACCATATCTTCTGAAGAATAGCAGGTTGCAGTCCTCCTCGCCCCCACGAATAACCAGGACCCGCTGGTCGGGTCAAGTGGCACCCAGACATGGGGCTCGAGGCACAGACCCCTCCGGACGGACCCTCATTGAGAGGATGTGCACACGACATCAAGATTGAGCGAGACAGAGATCGTCGCCCGCGACCTGTCGTCCACGGAACCAGGTTGATGCTGCCATCAAGAAGGC